CCCGGGATAACCACGGCGAGCCCTGGCGGCCGAGCATCTCCCGACGGCACGGGCCAAAGGCAGCTCCCATCGCACGCCGCCTGCGCCCATCAGGCCGAGCCATAAAGCCTGGCAACCGCGGGCCAAAGGATAACGCACCAAAACCCAAGCCTAATAAATAGGTTAAGCCGCCAACTCGAATCTACCGAAAGCAGGGATGCTTTCTCGAAAGCTCTCCTCCAGATTTGCAAGCCCGTCCTGGATTACCGCCAGGGAGCGGTGGTGAAAGAAAGCTTACAAATTACCTGTACTTTGGGGCAATTATAAAAGGCAATTTGTTCCGAGGCAGAGGTAAGCACGCTGCCGTGCACACCCCGACGCAGCGATCAAGACTGCAGAGCGGGGCGCTTGGCTCCAGCTCCCTTAACGCACGTTACCGATGCCTTCGATTTTCACCCTTATTGGCAAATGACGTTGGCGCAAAGCTTTGGGCCTCAGTAACTACCCAAGGTATTTATTGATTAAAGAAGGCACGAGTCTTTCTTTTCAGGACTGTAAGCCCAGTTTATAGCATCTCACCCAACCCTGCCGTTTACTGACCCCACGACCTCACGTCTGACTTTGCAACCCCGTTGGGGACGGACCTTAGCGTTCACTCGCTGCACAGCAAAACGCAGCGCGGAGCTGGGCCACAGACTCCTGGAGTCGAACACATTTTCCCTAGAAAAAAGGAATCAAAATGCTGATCTGAAGCAAATGCTTCCAGCTGCTCTGAATCTCTCTCCCCAGTCTTCCCTCCCATCTACTCTCCTGGAGAGGATTAGCGGACCAACGCTCCACTCCTGCTTAGTCAAAGAGAAATATAAATATATTTGAAAGAGGGAACTTTGTGGTCAAAAAGGCCACGTCCCAGCAACACGGGGAGAGCAGCCTCTTCGACAGACCCACGCTGCGCACAGCAAGCTCGCAAGGCCAGGGCGAAGAGGGTCTGCTAGCTAGGAAGCTTTCCGTTTGAGCTACTCATCCTTCGGGAGAGATGTTAAAATATTCCCTGTATGCAAACTCAGGAGAAGGGTCTGCGTGTGCGGAGATGAGGGTTTGTGAAACAGATCTGGCTCGAATCCAGACTGCGTCGG